AGCTTCACCACCACTGTTGTATCAGTCTGGCATGCCTGTGACTAGGAAACTTTCAGGCTTCTTAAATCAAGCCCATCTCCTTGATGGTATCTAGAGTGTGTAACTCAAATCTGTTACACTGCTTATTTAGCTTCCTGACTGCAGTACATTATTGTCCTACAGAACTACCTGGCACATGATGAACTGTCTATTGCAGTAGAAATGTTGTCAGCTGTTGTGTTGCTAAACCAGACCTTGGAAAATAAGGACATCCTAATGATACAAAATCATCTCAGAAACCCATGCCTTGGCTTCAATAATCTGGAAGAGGAAAACTTGCAACGGTAAAGGTTCATTTTGTCTTGTCTGGATGAGACTTGGCAATTTCTAAAAAAAAAAAGTGGGATTTTTATTTTTTTTTTTTTGGGTGGGCTGTCCTGTGTTGTGGCTGTGAAGTTGAAAGAGCTGCAAGATAAACATCTGTGGCTTAAATCAATAAGGGAGAGTGTGACAATTGCTGTACTAGTTGAATCTAAATATAAGCGATAACACAGCCTTGAAGGCTGTAGACATGTGAGTTGCAGGGAAAATATCCTCAGAAAGCAAACACGAATATCTTACAAGGATTTTTGCAAACTCTAAAAATTGAAACAACTGTAGCTGGAAACTGTTAATCACTAACCATTCTGCAATTCTGAAAGATGGTTTTTGGAATGAGATAGTGTTTAATGCCTCAAGGTCCAGGTGATCTCTTAAGCCACAGCCAAGCCCTTTTTTGCTTGGTAGAAAAGTGAATACAATGCTGTGGCAAAAACATATGTTCAACATTACATTTTAGCCTTCACTTGGCTGCCAGCTGCTTGCTTGTCACTTGCCTGACTTACCACAGAGGAGCTGTTACTGCAGTTGCTGTCCTGTCTATCAATAAAAAATTAGGCAACAGAAGAGACCTGTGCCCCCAGCATGCAATGGAGAGTATGGGAATGTGGACCAGTTCCTGTCTCTTGGCACAGGCAGTGGAAGCCTCCACATGCTTGTGGAAGGCATTAGTAGGCAAAAGGGACCACAGAAGCTGAAGATCTTCACTAGACCATCAGGGGACATGAATCTGAGAGTGGCCCTTGCTGGGCATCTCAAAGCCAGAAGGAAGGCGGTCAGATTAGGAATAAGAGGCTCTAATTTGGGTGAGAGAGAGAAAAATGACATAAAATGGAGCAAAACTAATCTGCTACTTTGTCTCTCCTGATGTGAGGTGGTGCTTGTGAGCAAGAGAAGCAATGTTATGAATATGCAGAAATGGCCCCAGAGTGTCCCAAGTGCAGCATTTCTGGTGATGTTGCTGACCCAATCTTTAGATTACACTATCAGTAAACACAGATAAAACAGTAGGAACTAGCTGGACTTGACAACTAAATAAAATTTTATTATGCCATTATGTTAACCTGTGCTGCCAACCATATGTTGAATATCACAGGAAGCTTTGACTTGCACAGTACCAGAAGAGATGTAGTGGAGCTAGAAAAACTTCATTGAGGGAGATGCTGTCCAATGGCTTTCTATCAGAAGGGATGGACTTGTTTGGAATATGTTTCCTGGAAGAGAGAATTTAGGAGAAATATGTCATAGGTCTCCAAAACTGTGAATGTTGTGGAGAATGTTTATAGAAGCAGTTACTAGATTCTAGTAGCTCTAGTTGTTTGGAGATTTTTGAGAACTTAATAAAGTAAATATTGGACCCTATCAAATATAAAGTTTAATTCTTTTTTAAAAAGCTGTCAACTCACAAAACCTGTAGTGGGACTAACTCCTGAATAATACATAAGATTTTAAAATAGAGCAGGTAAATTAATGGAGTGTAGCCTTGTTTGCAACAATTAAAGTGATACACATTCTCCAGCTCCAGAAACCCTTAAAACACAGATGCTGGAAAGACAAATCAGATTAGGAAATCATGAATCTCTTCTATTTTAATTTTTTTTCTGCCAGGCATTCGTTCCTCAGGCTTCTGAAGGAAATAGAAGATATGTGTTTTATCTGACATACTGTAGCAGTTCTGTGCTTGGTTTGGGAAAATTATTTAACTTATATACACATGAATTTGTACCACTGGGAAGGTTTCCAGCTTATTTGATCTGTGAGCTTTCTAGGAAGAGTAGACACAGGCTACAGAGCCTGTGCTTGGACTATCTTGAGTTGTGGGAAGAGGGGCATAATTTTTTTTTTTAAGTCCCTTGCCCATGGTTCATCATCTTCCTCATGGAGGTAGCAAGGGATGCTGCTGCGTGGTACTACTGACTGAAATTCTGGTCTTTGAATTAATGTCAAGAAGACAGCAAGAGTTTCATAGAACAAGAAGGTGACTGTAATTTTCCCCACATTTATCTGTTGCACCACAGCAAGTTGTATGTATGTGTATGTATTGTCATCATGCCATATAACCAAGAAAAGTTCTCTGAATTACAGGGCCATCTTTTCAAATCCTGAAATGCATGTGTAGAACAGGCAGCTTGCATGTCTGTGTAATTTCTGCCAAGAGCTGAGTTTGTCTGAAATTGAGTCATTGGAAAAAAATACTAGTCATTAAATGATGGCTGATACATCTGACTAATTCTTTATGGCACTTTATCTTATATATGAAATACACTTATGTATTTTATATCTTCTTATAGTTATGCTGATACACTATTGTCTATTAAGTCAGAGGCTTCATCTCAAGGCCAAGATTATTTAAGCTGGAATGATATCCAGAACTGCATTGACATGGTTAATATGCAAATTCAAGAAGAAAATGAAAGTAAGTAATTCTTCCTCCGCATTGCCCACAGAGGTCATAGTCAGGTCTTTGGTATGTAAATCTATGAACTGAGTGGCCTCATTCAGACACTCCTGAAAAGAGAAGAGCATTAAAAATTTTTGAAAGCCTGATGATCTTTGAATGTCCTTGAAATATTCCTGTTTGTTTCAGAAGGCTGAAGGATATCACAGGGTGCCTGCCTTCTGCAGTGTTAAAAATGCTATGGTTCTGCCTGCTTGGCAGTGTCTTCCAGCCCTGGATGGTCTCACTTTGGGGATTTTGCAGTTGTAAGAAAAGAGAACATATTGGGAGATAGGGGAGGAAATTACAAGTGGTGTTCCATTGAAAATTGTGTTTTAATGTGTAAATTATTCCAAGTGATTGTTTTTCACAAAGGAATCAGTAAGCAGTTAGACAATGCAACTATCTGTCTTGCTTTCTTTTTGGGTAACTTGATTTCCCGTCAGACAAGTAGCTTCTTATGCCCATAGAAGTGTTCTCAAGTGAATGGATTTAGAGTTTATTTTTGAAGCTGAATGTAAGTGTTTTGCCATAAGAGGGTGGTGTTATATTAAATGTAACATCTGGTCATTTGGGCCTCAAAAAAGTTAAAGCACCAAAATTCTTCCACCGTATGTAGAAATTTGAGGCTATCGAGTTATGCCAAATTTGCTGGAGCAGGAAGAGGCAGCTTTCAGACTGCCTGCCATTTCAGAAGCAGTCTCAGTGCACTTTGAGAGCCTTTGTAAGGCACAGGCTGTTCCGGCCCTTCCTGGACTGCCGTTAGTGTCCTGCATGCTGCTGTTTCATACCGGTAAGGGAAATTTGGTATTGCAGAATTTCTAAAACTGGCTGGATTATTGCTTCCTAAATCTAGTCCAGGGGTTGCCATGGATCCTCACAGCTTGCTTGCAATGTGTACCCTCTGACAAGGTGGGGTGCTGAGCAGTTTATTTGACTGGCAGAGTCACTTTTTCTGTCTAAACCCCTGCACTTGTTAGGAGTTGGAAAGGACCTTGCAGTAGCAGTGAAAGGCTTCAATACCAAAAGAGCTGCTCTTGCTCTCAGTGACACTGGCCTCTGCCTGGGAATGTTTAGAGGGGGCAAATGGGCAGAGAGAAGAGGAAGAAGGGAGGCCTCTGTTTCTTTAAGCAAGTCCCATATCTGCATAGTCCCTGTTTTGGACCACCTTGGACAAACTGCTCATTCCCCAAGCCTTATGATGACCTGGATCTGTGACCTCGCCAGGTGGGTTGTGGTGGGTCTAGACACTTGTTGAGGGACGATCCACTGGGAGCAGGGATGTCATCCTTCACAGGTGATGGTGAAAGCCTTGACTGATGTCTTTCTGTGGTCCTCTTTAGGGACTACAAGCAGTGCATTTCAGTACTGTTTAGGGGCAGGAGGAAATTGATTTGAAATGATTGGGCCCAGTCTTAAGAAAATGAGTTAAAGGTTTTATTAAATACATTGGGCCTTACTTCCTGACTGAAGTACTGAGCGCCACTGGTCAGCATTGTTACATTGGTTATTTCCAGAGAAATTGCAAGAAACGAGGTTAAGTTGCTATGTAATGCTGTAGCTGGGAGTGCAGGATGTGTGTATTTGTCCAAATCAGGGTTTCAACTAATGTGGTCTGAAATCACTTGAAAACAAAACTTTCATCACTGTGAAGCCAATATGTTAAACATATAAATAGTGACACCCAACTTTTTCTTAAGCTTCATGTAGGTGTTTCTTCCCAGAAAATAGAAAAATCTGTTTTCCCTTTTTTGTCAAGGATAATTTTGATTTTTAGGAAGAGTTTTATGCAGATATACCAATAACTGTGATAGGAAGGAAAGTTGTATAGCATCAAATGAATATAAGAACAAAAATAATTTAAAATCAGCTGCTGTTGCTGCCTCTGCTTCTTGTTTCGTGATTTTTCTGTTCTTCACGTTACTGCTTTGTTTGTATGTGATATCAGAAAAGTTGCAACTTTCTTTGATAAGTGCATCTTTAATAACTTTTCTGTCTCACAGGAATCATTGCAATAGGACATATCAATGAAGCAGTTGACCAAGGAAATCCTGAGAAAACTCTAGAAGCCCTACTATTGCCCACAGCCAAGCTGCAAGATGTGAGACCAGTAAATGCAAGGCATTATCAGGATGTTCTGCACTATGCCAAAGCACAAAAATGCAAGGTTAGAATATTTACTGTTGTTCTCCCTGAAAAGTGAAATGCTAATTCTTTTCACTTGCTTGTGTGTCCCTGTCCTGGTTCCCTGATATTTGCATTATCTTTGCCCAGTGAGGTTGTAAATAAGCCAGTGACAACAAACTGGCACTACATAATTTTGCACTATAACTTACTCTGACTGGCAAAATGGATTAATTCTCAGTGTATTAAAATTAAGACATTTTCTGCATATGTCTTACTACTGCTGTAATCTCACTTACTTTAATTCTCCTAGGTTGCTGCAGCTATTACAAAATACAGGCAGCAGCAATACTCAGGAATTTGTATGAGGATACAGTTATAGGACTGTGTCAGGCAGATAGCTACAATATGGATGGAAAGTGAGGTTTTTGCCAGAAAGAAGTCACAATTATTATGTTATTTAACAAATCTTCGGGAAGTATTTTGAGGCATCTCCTTTGCTGATGTTGTTTTATTATAGTGGAGTTTTGTATATATTTCTTTTACAGCTTTATCATGCAATAACAAGCTGACAGTTTTGCATGTGCCTTCAGTTTAAACCTATCTCAACTGGATGTTGCTATCTGCTTCCCCAAAAGCAGTGGCCTGCTTAGCATTACAGCTCAGGGAAGCATAAACAAAGATCAGCCCAGCAGCTTGCAGGATGTGACTGAACACAAGGTTAAGTAAAGCTACGAGCACAGCACTTAAAATGTCCAGTGTCTGGAGAACACAATTAAAATTCACATAGTATGTCCCTGAGGTAACATGGTGAATTAGGGAAAGTCTGCAAACATTGGCTTGTAAAGTATCTTCCAGCATTTGTGTCACCTCACCTGGGGTACCTGCTGTGAATTCATGTTTTCAGAACTTAGGAAAGGTGTTTGCACAAATCAATTTTCTCACCAGGGTTCCCAGGTAAGGGCTTGTTTCACTGAGCCCTCAGAGCTGAAAAGCCTTCTCTCTCGCCATGTGTGCTGGGGAGGGCTTCGTGCACTCTGACTTCACCTGTCCTGGATGGGCTGGGGTCAGTGTTTGTGCACAGTGAGGGTGCTGGCTGCACAGTGCTGACCCAAGGCATGCCATGTGTGTGCACAGTGAGCCAGGATGTCCCCAAGGCACTGACCTACAGCCCACAGGTGCCTGCACACAGCTGTCCTACCCTGACTCACTCCTGCCAGCTGCCCCAGTGCTCCCAGATGCAAACCTGATGCCTACTCCTGTCCTGGTGTGAATGTACTCATAGGAAACAAATGAGTGTTTCCAAATTTTGGAACAAAATTTGTAGAATCTCTTTGAAGTCTTCTCTTTATAAGATTTTTGATGTTCCAGAAGTCCAGAGACTTCAGCTGGCCTTTCTCTTCTGAGCTATTTTGGTTTTGCAGTCTTTTGGCAACTACTTAGAGCACCTTCTCTGTGAAAAGGAGTGTTGCTGCTGTTTCAGAAGAGAACAAGACACAGTGCTCCCAAAAGAAACACTCAGATGCATACTTCCTCTTTACAGTGATCAGTCATAGATATGACAATTCTTTACGTAAAAATATGATTTCAATTGACATTTCCTTGAAAAAAATCCAAACACAATTGTAAAGGTAGTGCAATTTCTGAAGACTGTCTATTTTCCATTTTTTCTGATCCCTGTTTAAAAAGCAGATCTGTCGGAATTTGTGTTTAGCATGTTTTAAGAGTGAGCTGTGGTAAAAGGAAGTATTTGATTTACAAGGATCAGATAGATCTCCCTATAAACTTCCTGCCCCAACATCTGGAAAAACATATACGTCAAACCTACTCACTTATCTAAAAAGCTTGCTGTCACTTCCCCATAGCTGTGGTGATCTGGGGGAGTCTGCACCCAAATCTGTCAGAACACATTATCCTTATAATCTGAGGTCCTTATCTCAGATCTGACCTATTTGTTCCTTGCTTGAAACTGAAAATGCAAACCTGGAACTCATTTTGTCCTGTAAATCGTAAACCACAGCTTTTAACAGTTCTGAATGCCTTTTCAAGCCAAATGTATTCAGGTCCCAGTGAAGAGAAACCCTGTCTTAAGTGAGCATATTGTGGATAACTGGAAAGTTTAACAGAGGGACCAAATTACTATGTTTGGTTGTAGCGTTTTTTGTGTGATAGGTACAGAGGTTTTAGTTAGGTTCACCTAACTAAACATATTTTCAATAGTTGTGTAATATTTGAATTATTTTAGAGTTATCTTTAAAAATTGTTCTTATGCATGTTGAAGGAATGGCAGGATTAAAACTAACTTAATTTAAGAGCCAGGAGAAATAGAAAAAGGGGACCCTCACCAGGCTGCAAATTCCCTTGAGGCATTTTCCAGTGCAACTCATTTTATTTAAGTGAAGTTTTTTTACAATACTGTTATCAAAACAACATAAAACATATTCATCCTCACTTACATGCTGCAGTTACAAATTCAAATGACAACCACTGAGGTAATTTTCTAGGAACTTAGTATGTAAGTAGGTTTTGAGTTTCTGTAAAGGTAAAAATGGACCCATTGTTTTACTAATAGTCAATGGTAACTAGCTGCAGTATTTGTAACACTGTAGGTATTTCCTGTGAGGATGTGGAAATAGAGAATACTACAAAATAGCTTCCCTGTTTCACTTACCAAGCAAGAGTAATATATGCCTGGATTCACACTGATAAGGGTTAGCTCCCAGCAATCCCTGTGAGTTAGGGAAGTGCGGGCGCTGACCAAGTGGAAGAACAAGTCTCCAGTGCAGAGCTGGTTAAGCAGCCTCATGGGAGTGGTAGCCTTGGAAGAGTCAGGTTCTGTGTCCATGGCTGTAGACCTACTGTTATGTGAACCTATGAGGACTCTGTATTTCCAACATCCAGGGCAGTATTTGCTCTTGACTGCTCCCAGGCATGTAGAAAGTGCTTGTTTGCATTTTCACCAGGCCAAAATCTTGGTTTTGTAACATTGTTCCTACAGTGATTGTTGGCTGAGAGCTAACCTGAAGTGTCATGAATTGCCCTAGAAGTGCTCTTTGGATGCTGACACCTCTTCTAGTGTTTAGAGGCTATGGTGACTGATACTCTGGCAGTTTCTCCATGGCCAGAAAGTGATCTCAGAAAGATATGGAGGTGCAGAGCTACTTCCCTGAATCTAGGTACACAGGTGTTGCAACATACGTAATAAAGTTAGAGCTGGAGAAGTGTATTTTTGGAGATATTCCTTCCTGTGGAAAGAAGTAAATTTAACTGAGATTGTGTTTTCTAACCCATTTTACTTGAAGTATAAATGTCGCACCTGAGATTTGTTGCTGTCTGCGTTAGTACTATACAAAACCATAATTCCAGTAATAAATTCATTTTTCCCTGGATATTTTAACCATTGTCAGATAAAGATTGGATTGACTCCTAATTTTCGACATCAGAAAATAAAGGAAAGGATCAAGACAACTGTTTAGGCTGCTAAGACATAAAGCAATTAGATAAAAAGAATACAACCTATCTGTGTTGTAATAGTAATAGTTGATGTGATGGATAATAAGGATAATATTGCTTGGCACAAAGCAAATAGCAAAGATGGTAAGAATCAAAAGACTGACTTTAACATACCAGAACCATTCGTGAGTCTTGAGTGTTCGTATAATCGAGACATAGCAGAACACGATAGTTCCGAGCGGTATTAAAAACCCGAATACAGCTAAGGACACGTAGTAGTAGAACTGGAAGGAAGACACAGTTTCACAGGCGCTGTCCACGTCGTGGCAGGTATAAATGTCCAGCTGCTTCACGTAATAGCTCTGCTGCATGATGGCAAGCGGGAGCATGTAGAGGAAGACGATGGCCCACACGGCAGCGCAGGCTGCGATGGCATAGGCGCGCTTCGGGAGGCTCTTGTAGGTGAAGGGGTGAACGATGGCCAGGTAGCGGCTGACGCTGATGCACGTGAGCAGCAGAATGGAGCAGTACATGTTGCCGTAAAACACCGCTGTGGTCGCTCGACACATGGTCTCCCCAAATATCCAGTTGTTCCCGTTGATGTGGTAGGCTATTTTGAAGGGCAGTATGACGCAGAAGAGCAGGTCTGAAACAGCCAGGTTTGTGTAGAGGACAGCAGTGCACACGGAGCGGATTCTGAAGAGGAGCATCCACAGAATGATGGCATTAGATGGTACACCCAATAAAAGAGCACTGAGGTAGACAGCGGGTATTAGTTTGGTGCTCAGAGAGCTGGTGAGGTACTCCAGCGTGGTGTTGCTCACTTCTGTTAACGTGGAGTCATTTGACTTTTTTGAAGTGCATTTGTTTTCTCTGATACGGATGGTTGTTGTTTCCCCTTCTATAGCATAAGGGGGGATGTAATCATAGTCTCTCGCTGAAATTCCACGAAAAGTTTTGATAAGAGACACTGTTTTAATTGCAGAGCCATTCCGTGAAAATTCTGAAGCTTAGAAATAAAGTGAAAATTGTTAAAAAGGACAAACTACTGTATTAACAATATAACTCACCTTCAGGAGCAGAGAAAGATAACCATCTCTATGTGAAAAGCAATATAAGTTTAAAAGATTTGGGGATATTCTCCTCTGCTTGGGTGTTCAAATGTACATCAGTCTTCATTTATCATTTCACACCAAATCTTGAAAATTCATCATTAATGTAGTGTTAGCTGATCTTTCTGCATTTTGAGTGTTTTAAGTAAACTCTGATTACTGAAAACACCAGACACTTCTGTAATGCTTATGACCAGTGGAGGGTTTTTCCCAGTAGTAGGAATGTTGGTCATTCATCATACAAGCAGTCTTTGTTTAGGCTTGATCTAACACCATGACTATCCTTGTCACTTCACGTATGAAATGAATGACTGTAAAAGATGCAAAAAGCACTGTCTGGTCTAACACAGACTGAAACTTTCAAATTAGAAAACTGAAATTACCCTTAGTTTTTTGATCTCACATGTCAAATTGTTGTTCTTCAGCTTCTGACTAAAGCAAACCAGATCTTTTCAGGTTCTCATACCTGAGCAGGGCAATGTCTTGAGAATTGAAAACAAATGGTTGGGCAGGCATTAGATGTAATTTACTGGGAAGTAAATAAAACTTTTCAAGCAGCAGGAAAATTATCTGTAGTAAATATTGTCAGCATGTGGGCAGAAACAGTAATACTATTTTATTAACATCTGTTCCTCAGTCTTTAGTAGAGAAATTTGTAGAGACATTGACATCTTCACATGAAGCACAAATGTGTTCACAAGGCTTTTTAAAGCCATGTGTTGTAAAATGTATTTTTCACAGTAAACAGTTGTGCATTTGTGTCACTTAAATTTTCTTAGCTGCATTTAATCCAAAAATATTAATTGTAAAGCCTTCAGCATGGACCATGAAACTGGAATTCAGAAGCAAACTGACATATGGGTGAAAATCTTTGGACTTTTTTTACCTTTCCGTATTTGAATAAAATAAAGAGAATAGTTTTATTAGTGTTCACTGCCAGATTTACAGTAGAATGTTTTAAAATAATAATTAGCAGAATGAATAATTTTTGGTAGTTTTTTGATGGCTACTCCAGAGAACTAGTTTTAACCACTCATTAAAAGTCATACATGTGCCTGCGTCAGCTGATATGTGTGTAGATAAATAGATATAGGTATAAATACATATATATATATATATGTATGTATATTATATATGTGTGTGTATATATATATATATATTTATGTATACCAGCTTTTCAAAATGAGCTTGGTTTGAAAACACTTTTAATTCTAGGCAGGTTTATTATTTGATCATTTCCTGTAGTTATTTTTATCACAATAGTCATCTGAGCATTTCCTTCTAATAACACCATCTGTGAAGTTGTAAAACAAGACACTACAGGTTTAAAATTATTGTATCATTACAAAAATACTAGATAAAAGATGTGTCTTCAGTAAGTGCAGAAAGTCCCCTTAAACAAATCTTTTATAGAAAATAATGGACAGAGGTAAGGTGTCACTGAAATGAAAGAATAAAAATCGGATTTAAAGGAGACATCCTGGAGCAGATTTTTGTAACTGGTACATGCGTGTACAACTCATTTCAAGTTTGCAGCTGGTAGAGCAACAGCATTATGAAAAAGTTCATGTTATTGACTAAAATATGGAATAGATACAGAAAGGAGGACTCACCTGTGGTGCAAAGACTGGAGGTAAAAGAGAGCAGTCCAGTGAAAAACAGTATCTTCATTGTAGTGTGTGAAATCCAGCCAGCTGAACAATGGTGCTGCGCTAGTTCATCTCAAGAGGCGTTTTGTGGGGTCTTTTTCCCCTCTGTAAGGGACTAAAGAATGATTGATCTGTCCTCCAGAAGCATCCTGTAAGCATGAGGTTTATGGTAAGGAACTAATTTGTTCTTTGTCTGCTACAGCAAGAGGGTGTGACGTATCCAAATATGCACACATGACTCAGTTTCAGCCTCAGCCCAACACAGAGATAAAATTGCTTTACAGCAGCATTTTAACTCCTAATTTACCACAAGCCTGAAGCTGATATGCAGGGTTCTACTGACATTTGTACATACAGATACTTGGAATAAAAAGGTGCTTTCTGGAAAAATCAAGGGGTGTGTTCAGTAAATCCTCAAGAGTCTCGTTCAGAGACCAAAATGTCATGTGGGCTGAACTCTGTACCCTTCTTCAGAGAAAAGCTGGGCTTGCAGAAGAGTGTGATGATCTCAGTTTAGCAGAAGGAAAAGATGGAAAGAAGCCACACATATAAAAATGTTTCAGCAAAACTGCATTCTGCTTTGCCTTTTGCCCCCTGCCCACTGTTAGCTGTCTGGCTCCTTCAATCCACCTACTGCCTCTCCTCAGACAGTTTCCACCCCTCCACAGACTGCAGCCTCTAAAACCTTTCCCCTGTTTTCATTTGCTGCTTTTTTGATCCCTTCCTTTTACTCTGCCTGGCTTTTTTTTTTTTTTTTTTTTTTCCTTCTCTTTTTTTTCCCCTTCAATGCCAAATAGCAGCAGTTTGTTTCAGCAAGTAAAACTAGCCTAAGCCTTGGTCTAGCTTCCAGGCTAGTCGTGAGGCTCAACATATGTTGTACTTGGCTCTGGAGCAGTATTTGTGTCTGTTCTTGTATTTAATGTGTAAAAGCTGGATACCAGATTAGGAAGTCCCAATGCTTTTCTCAAAATTCAGTGGCAGTTTGGAAATTTATTAAACATTCTCTCAAGTGCTAACTCTCCCTTGGTAGAAAAATAAGCAGTATGTGTCCACTGTCCTGTGATTGTCTGACACCACTTCATGTTATTTATGTATTCTGCTACCTTGTTTACATATATGGTGTAAGCTGAAGAGCATGTCTTTGGTGGTTTTTTACCCTGTTTTCTTTTTGTAGTTTCTGAGGATATCAGATTTATTAGATCTTTGGCCTGAGGTTCAACCAGGGATACTCATTGCAAAGCTGCTTCTTTGTCCACACTGTTTTAGTCTAAATGTGTTTCTAGCTGGTTTTTTTTTCCCCTGAATTATTTGTGTGTATATTTTCCTAGATCTCTTTATCAATACATTCCAGCTTCTCTCATCGTTAGTCTGTTATAGGCCTGACACTCCTATTTCCTCTCCAGCATGAATTTCTCACCCACCTACTGGAATAGATTTTAAATATTACTTTAACCCTGTTTTATCTGCTGAAGTGCTGGTATCACGAGTGAACCTGGCAGTAGCGCTGGTTAGTGGGGATGTTGATGCCACTCTATTACACCTTCTATTTTAACTTGGGTTTAATGTCATGAACTTCAGGCCTGAAAGAAGAGCGGTACCTATTCTGCTGCTTAATTACAGAAATGTTTCCATGAGCTAAATCGTCATTACTAAAGCTGAGCTGTCGTTCTATGAGAGTATTCACTGTTATTTTCTAATGCAACATGTACTTAGATATACACAAGGATCCTTTCCAAATAAGGGATTTTGAAAGAAAGCCAACTTCCTGTAGTCTTCTGTTATTCTCTCGTGCTATCACAGTGCTGCCTGGTAATGTGTGATTTTATTTGACTCGGACTACTTTGCCTACATATCATGGAAATAAAAATGTTTCAATTTTTATTGATCTTTAGTAGAATGAATTCTATGCCAGCAGTATCAGCAAATTCTGTTCTTCTAGACATCAAAACTTTCAGAGATTTGTATCTGAACAGGATCTTTTTCAAGTCAGTAAATAGAATATGAACGTGTTTCATTGATGATTTTAAACAGTCAAATCCTTTTTTGTGTTCTAGAGCTTTGCAAAGGAAGGATTGTATATTGGAGCTCTGTCACTACATTGAGACAACTCTTATTATTCAGTTTTTTCAAGGCTTTTTACTGTCCTTTTTCCAGGAATCTCAAGACGAATCAGCGCTTCTGTGGCTGGATGAAATACAAAGAGGAATCAATGACAGCAATAACAACATAAAAGAAGCAGCAACCTGTAAGCATTAACCTGCATCTCCACTGCTCTTGTTTTTCTTGGTCTTGGGAAAAGGAAATTGGTAATTTATATTTTCCACTTCAGGGAAGGTGCAAGCCCTTTAAATACATGAAAAGAAATTAATGCGTGTTCTTTGTCATACTAAAACTGAGATGAGTTAAAACCACAGGAGTGGTGTTAGTTCTGTCTAAAGTGGTAATCTTTAAGGTGTGTCTAATAATTCAATGGATTTGGTTATACAGGTTTACATCATGACCAATCTTTCTAATGTCAGTGTATCTTCATGTAGCTCCTGAAATATATGAATGAGAACAGATAAGCTGTTCAGAAGCTTGTTTTGCTATATTTAGGACTAAAATATTTATGCATATTTTAAGGGCAAATTTTTATGTTTACGATTTTGCTTTTTCATATTTCTTTATATTGTCTTTTGTGGATTGCTGACAAACAAAAGTCAGGAACACCTTAACTTTTAAAGCAGTGTACAATGAAAGCTAGCTCTTTTTGAAAAGCATATGCTCTTCCAGTCTGTAAAGAAGAGGAAATCTATAGGAAAAATGCTGAGGCTTAATCTGTCAGAGTGCTGTGTACTGAATGCACTCAACGCCTTTTGTCAAAGCTTTGATTGAATAGAATAATTTTAGAAAAAATATTCGTAATACGTAATAAACTTTGGCAAGGAATGTAGAAGCAAGCACCACTGGGTTTATGGGGCACGTTGGAGAGCACAGTTGATGTGCCCGCCTGTACCAGGCCAGGTCCAGCAGAGCACAGACAAGGCACTGGGCATTGGACAGCCTTCTGCTTCACTGGGCTTGGGGTGAGTCAATGTTGCTTTCTGTTGCACCTTCGGAGCCTGTGAATGCAAGTGCTGAAGTCGATGCATTCCTGCAGTGCTGTGCTCAGCCATCCCTGTCAGGAGCTACTGCTTGGCAAGCTGTGGGTGGAAGAGAACACAGATGGACATTACAAATACCTATCCCTGCTACAGGAACATTGCATTTTGTGTTACTATAACTTTAGAAATTACTTAAACAACTAATATCGTCTTCACATAACAAGGCAGATATACTGAAGATAGGTGAAGTGTTTTTGTAGGTCACATATCCATAGAAAGCACTGGGCTTGTGTTTTCTGAGACAGGATCAGATACACACACATTGTCTCAACCAAGCTTTTGTACTCAGGAGTGCTGATATCTTCTTTTGTGGAAAAACGTGCTTCCCATGAACGCCACCCGGAGCCATGAGGAAACATGAGCACAGAGAAGGGAAGGAAAGGCGTAGCTTATAAACAGATTTGAGTTAAACGTAAAGATCAACTTAAAAATGCCCTCGTTTATGTTCTCTGGTGTAAAAACATTAAGAATATGATCATAAGCAGCCTGCAGAAATTAGGACAGCATAATTCATATAGCAATACCATACAGTGTTACTAATGGTAAATCACTGGTCCATCCACTATCTAGTTGTTGTACTAAAATCCTTTCTTATAATCTGTGTTGGTAATAAATGCACAGCTTTTCACAATCAAGAATGCCCAGTGGAACTGTTTTAATTTTCACTTTTAGGAAAAAAACCCCTAATTTTGTGTACTCTACCCTGTAAGTTGAAAAGAAGCACTGTCAGTGCAGCACATTCTTAAAGAGCTCTAAAGTTTTGCAGCTAAAACCTGAGATTTAACATTTCCCCACGGCACAGAACCTAATACTTCCTATAACCAACACATCCTGTCTCAGGAAGTTTGCATGTTGTGTTCACGTAGTCTAAACTGAAAGTTCAGCTTGATCACAACTTGGAAAGGAACTTTGCTTTGATCTATCACACAGGCACTATTTTTGAAAGGCAAACAGCTCCAAAACTTTCACAAGGTAGTCAAAGATGTATTTTTCAGTTTAAAAAGTGGTTTTGAGATTGCTGCAGTAATGGCAATAAAATAAGAGAAGATACTGGCAGCAGTACTGAAACAGTCTTGATCACTTCCAAACTAACTTTTATGCCTTATATAAATACTAAATGGTACACAATTAAAATTTTTAAAGGCTTTTGCAGTTGTTCCTGTCAGTAAAGGACACTGTGTCTTCTACCTTTATTTAGGAAGAAGTGTTCAGTAAGTGCTGGTGCACTTCCTAACTGATTGTGGTGCTTGCTCTGTGTTTTGCATCACCTTGCTTCACTTCTTTAGTAAGTTCAACCATTGTACTCCTTATCTAAGTGGAGGACAAAAAGAGATTGGCCAAATATCAGCTGTATAGCCTTCAGGAGTAGATTTGAGCACTGACTTCAGTCTTGCACAGGAAGAGTCTGTCAAAGCAGGAAGTCTGTGTGTCCTGAGAGAGTCCAAGCTATAGGAAAAAGCTGATCTTTGGCCTTGTTGGGAGTTCAGGCTTATCACAGAAGACAACTGTGGCTTTGTATATCACAGCTGTTTAAAAGGGAGGATGGGTGTGGAAAAAAACCCTTTGCAGTGTTGATCTGGTACTGGCATCCTAACTGCTAGAGAAGCAGACTGGAGCTGACAGTTTTCTGGCAGTTGGGGGTGGCTAACCTCCAGTTATCTTAGGATTTTTCAGGGTCCAAATGGCCTTTCTCTAGAGCAACAGCCACAGTAATAACTGCTAGCATTTAAAATGAAAGGAGTAATTTCTGTTGAGTTTTTTTACCTGATAAAAACTTTTCATACATTTTCCTTCAAAAATACAAATATAATTAATTAAAAGATGAGGAAAAGCCAGATGGCAGTGGACCTACATAAATGAATCTTAGCTTAAGTTGTGCTTTCTTTTGTCTTTGTAAAAATATCTTCTAGCACCCTTAACTACATGATGAAAAGGAGGAAGGAAAGCATTCAAATACTGCTGAACAGAGTTCATGAGGCACAAGGGACTGTGTATGAGTATGGGGCCAGCAGCAGCCAGCTATAATGTGTGGCTTCCCAGTTT